GAAAATATAAAGAAGTTAAGTCAGTTCTTGTGGCAAAGATACATCTCAGTGCTGAGGCACAAGACAAAAGACAATCCCTTCTAGAAAATCCCGTACAATAGCAAAATGCTATTACTGGTGTGTAACACCCACATCGGGGCAAAGATCCTTGACATTTTCTGATTCTTCTAAAGAACGAATTCTCTCCTCATTTCTCACCTGAAATGATGGGCCACTCACAAGATAAATAAAGCAAAGGACAGGGTTGTCAGTTGTGCCATAGACGGGCAAAGGGGTGAAAAAAACAAGATTCCTTCAAAATTCTGGAATATTGTATTGGAATTTTCAAGCGAATTCCTAAATCTGTGGGGCTTGGTTGGGGACCCCCTTTGTAGAGAGGTTTGCTCACCACACCCCTTGCCAAAAAATCATCTCAGCAGCATCTTTTTGGGTGATGTTTGACACCCTTTGGACTCTGATCCTGCCAACACCCCTGTGCTGGGCAGTCCCTGCAGTCACTCCTTGATTTGGAAGTTTGCTCCAAACCATGATGGAGCTGAGGATAAACACAATTAAAACTTTCTATGACTTTTAATCTGAGGCATGCAGGTTTTACTCCTTCCATCCACCACACAGGAGCTGGTTTTTACCATGATCCCCTTCAGTCACGTGCTCAGCACAAAAAAATGTTGGCAGGATTGGAGCTGTTTTCTTTATACCTTGATTAAAATTTACTAAATTTACTTCTGCGTGTGCATGGACAGAAAGTTAATGCTTATTTATCAATATTCAGTTTTAAGGGGAAAGGAAGTGGTAGGTAATGAACTTTGATGAGTTTGAGTTGTGCTTAGTGTTAGTTTTTTTGGGGATGAAAGAGATTAGGGAAGAAGCCAACTCCTAAGATCGAGGATCTTTTGAGCAGTTAAATAATAATAATAATTTGATACTTCTTCTTTCAGTGGTTTTGTTCTGAAAAGTGCTTTCGTGTTCTTTTTCCTAAGAAATGGAAGGGTCAAAACCTCAAATCATATGTTTAACTTAATTTAGCCCAAACTGCCTATTTCACCCTTTTTTCCTCCAGATTCCATTTTTTTTTCCCTGATAATAATTTTAGTTTCACAGCCCCTCCCAAAACAAAGCACATGTTCAGCTTGACCACAGACTTTAAAGTCACTACTTCCCATGAGCAGATCTTGTCAGCTTCTCATTTAATTGAAAATGCTGATGCCTGGGCATTTTCACATTTCCAGAAACGCTTTATATTTTCTAGCTCAACAAACACAAGTTTCTAAGAAGGCTTGTGTTCTTATTTAACTTAAAAAAAAAAAATCTGAGAATCCACAGTTATGTTCAGTCTGTTGGAGATATTTCCCTTTAAGCTTGACTTTGGTCTCACCAAAGTGGCTTTACTCTGACTTCATGCCTTTGACTTCTGTGGAGGAATATCTAATATAAAACAGGGGCAGAATCAGCCCCTGAACACTTATTTTATGTGCTGGTCACTGTTACAGTAACATTACTCGCACTGAAAAGGGGGAAAAAAGGGAATATAGAGAACTTCCATGAGGATGCATGTGGGGATCAATATGCCTGCACCACTTTAAAACAAGTAATGCCACATATATTGTTTTATGTCCTATAAAATGTGTGCTAAATGTGCTCAAAGCTGGTGTGGGTAATGGGGTGCAAAAGCTTGAACTGGACTAAAATAAATATTTCTATGGATCAGGAGAATCCCACCTGGAATGGAGCTGCAGCAGGCAAGGTTTTGCTGCTGAAATTCATCTTTAGTGTGCAGTGGACACAAATTATGTGCTAGAAAAGGCTCATTATTGCCAATGGAACTCCTGGGGACTTCTATGGAATATCCACCAAAAAAAAAAAAAAAAAAAAAAAAAAAAGGGTGTGTATATCCCACAGAAGGCTCTTTGAAGGGCAGATGTATTCCCCACTCCTCTGCCCCAGCCCTCACAATTCCCATCGTTCAGCACACCAGGATTGAGTGAGGATGCCTCGGGATACAGTTTCCCTGGAAATCTGCTGTCCCAGCCTGTCAGGATTGCCTTGTGCCCTCAGACTGATCAGCTCATTCGTAGAAAAGAGAAGCTTTCTGAATTGCTGTAATTATCCCAGAATAGAGAGAATTTCCCTTCCAATTTCCTCCAAGGATAAACCAATTTCACACTATTTTGCCCTTTGCAGAAGCTCTCCTGCCTAATTGCTGGGAATCACCTGTCTTGGAAAGATGATTTCAAATCTTCCTTTACGAGACCGACCACGTTGTTTCGTGTGCTGGTCACCTAAAGTGCCCTACATGTTCCAAAAGCTGCAGATTTCGTGTTTTCATGAGTTCAGACCCTGTTTTGGGCACACAACCAAGTGATCAAAGACTCAACATGAGGTGTTGAGGGAACACTTCACAAAATTTGAGATATGGTAAGTCTCAGGGTTTCACTGGGAGTAATTTTGTCTAGAAGTGCCAAGAGTGGGGGATTTCACCAGGTTTTACCCTGGTGGAGGGGGTCTCTGAGCAGGAGGAAGAGCCCTGAGAAGGAGCTGGATCACCAGAACAAGGCTGAGGTTGTGTGTGCTAAGCACTGAATGGGTAACTGGGGAATAACTGCTCCAGATGCAGCTTAAAAAACTAGGGCAGGTGGAGATAAAACAGGAATAAGGACTCAAAGATGGAAGTGATCTGGATCATAAAGACATAAGAGGATCCCTTGACTCAGAGTGTTTCCATCTGCCTGCAGGATAATGAAATTTCCTTTCTCCAATCCAAACCTATTTTGAGATATCAGTTTTCTTTGTGGGCTGGAGAAATTGAGTGTAAAAAATGGCATTTGGACAAAGAAGTGTCCTTGCACCTAATGGACAGGGGCAGGAAGGGGTCAAGAGGACAGCTGAGATGTGGATGTGGGGAAGGTGAAGGATGAGTCAAAGAAAGGATGGGAAGCTAATCTGGGATGAGGTTTTGATGCAGGCAATTTGTCAAGGTCCCCAAATAGGCAGAATTGTGCCAGGAGCCAATACTCAGTGATGAGGCTCAAGGAAAATCTGGAAGCAGGAAAAGAGGGCAGGGCAGGGTGGCAAAGTCCCGGCTGTTGTGATGTGCCTAAAACAGGGCAGGACAGACTGTGGGATCCAGGAACTGCAGGACAGGGAGGAATGGGCACAAAGCCTCCACTTTGAGAAGATTTACCACAGAAGACCTGCCAGTTTTCATGTCAGCAGGAAGGTCCTCACACCAAGACATGAAGGGATCCTGGTGTTGCCTGGACCTTCCCTCCTCCTGCTCTGCTCCTCTCCTCCCTTCCCAATCTCCTTGGCCTCTCTCCCTGCTCCAGCTGCTCCACTGACTCCTCCCTGTCAGCTCAAGCAGATCTTCCAGAGCAACCAAAGGTCTCCTCGTGGGAAGGGGCTTGCCATGGACAGAGCTGCAGGATCTCACATGGAGTTGTCCCCACCACAAAGGCTGTGCCCAGTTCAGCTCTGCAGACACAGCCCCTCACCCCCAGTGCTGCAATTCCCACCAGCCATGCGGGGACTTGGGGCTCCACAGGGCTTTGAGTGGGAACATCAGCTCAGGCAACAAAGCCTTGCTGCCATTTCTGGGCAAGAAGTGGAGAAACGGAGGAGATCCAAGGAGGTGAGGCAGGGGAGAGCTGCAGAGAGGGAGCCGGGTGTTGGGGTGGGTGCTTGGCTGTGAGATCTCGGGGCTGCTCAGGGTGTAAAGTCCAAACCCAGGAGGGTCCTGAGCCACTGCTGGAGATGTGTTTGCTGCAGGAGGGGAGGGGAAAATGGGAATTTCCCTGAGAGGCAGAAAGGTCTGTGGAAATGAGTAAGTGCTAGGTGGGAAGTTAAACAGCCCTGAGCCCCACCAGAGTCGTGTCTTTGGATCTTTTCACCTCGTGTGGGGACAACTGGTGGCCAACCTTCACCTAGGGCAAGGCTGGGAGTCCCTTGGGGCCAGGGCCCACCATCAGCTGTGGTTGGAGCCCAAACAGTGATTTCTTCAGTGGCATTTGCCTTGCATTAAATATAATGGAAAGCAAAACGTTGCAGAGGTTTTCTCCCAAAATTTCGGTGGCTGATTTAAAAGTGTGCAAAATTTTGCTCTGTGTCTCTCTCTACCTTGGGTGTTTTTTTTTGGTTTTTTTTTTTTTTTTTTTTTTTTTTTTTTTTTCTGTTATCCTAAAGATAGGACCTGGAGGGGACATTCCACTTTCATGCTGAAACAGAAAGCATTTTGTGTGTTCCCTAGATCTTTTCCAGAATATTTTGAGGCTGTATATGGACTTAGAGAACTGTAAACAATTTTTTGGAAAAACCAAAAATCTCAAGTAGCTGCTGCAAAGCACAAGATATAATTTTAATCTACTTTACAGGGAAGTTGGAAGGGATTAATTAAGCAGTTAATAATTAACCTGAGCTTTATGTTAGTGCAAAGTACTGAGTAAATGTATTCATAAGGAAATTATGAGAAGTAACTACCTTTTAGAAAGGAGAATCTGAAGAAGGGTCATGCAAAACTATACTGGAAGTGCTGGAGAAAGCTCAAAAACCCTTTTTTGTTTTGGAGTTGAGGAAATTGTACATTGAAGGTGGAATTAGGGACATAACCTAGCTCAATATTCAAGAGGAAGCTTTCTACCCACAGATATCAAATGTTCCTCCTTAGCTTACAAAGTTTTGAAGAATTTTCAACTTTTGCTTTCAAAAACACATTTTTCCCCCCTCCAATATGACTTTCATTTTTCTTGTTTGGCTTTTCTTTGTTTGTTTTGGGGTTTTTTTGAATGTTGTTTTGGTTTTTTTTGTTGGTTCTTATTTTTGGTTTGTTTTGTTGTTTTGGGGTTTTTTGAGGTTGTTTTTGGTTTTTTGTTTGTTTTGTTGTTTTGATGGTTTTGTTTTGGGGTTTGGGTGGGGGTTTTTTTGGTGTTTTTTGTTGGGTTTTTTTTTTTTTTTTTAGTTTTTGGTTGGTTTTTCTTGTGTTTTTTTTTGGGGGGGGGGTATTTCATTCCAACCTGCAGCTTCACCTTTCCCTACCCATTAAATTAAGGCTCTAGCGAGCTGCAGGGGAGTGATGGCACAGAGGAAGAAGAAGGAGGAGGAGGAGGAGGAGGCAAACAGCAGACATCTCACCCCAACACGCGCCCACAAAGCCAAAATCCAACAAGATCCCCCCGACGACCCTGGAGGGATCCCCCACCAGCCGCCGCAGGCCAGAGCCCTACAGCAGAAAGGCCCCAAAGAAAGTTTTGTGCTCCTTGGTGTAATCCACCAGCTTGATGTCACTCACGTTGACCATCAGCTTGTCTCCCACCTCCAGGGAGACAACAGCGCCCAGGTAGATGGGCTGGAACCAACCATTGCCGTTCTCACTGAGGGTCTTGGTGCCCGTCAGCAGCTGGGTGGGCTCGGGGTAGCTGTCAGTGACCTTGGTGATGACCTCAGTGACAGAGCTGGCCTTGTGGCTGCTCTCCACGGGCCCTCGGAAGGTGACCTGAGCGTACACGTAGTAGTCCCCGGACACAGGAATCACCAGGGCGTTGCTGGAGTAGCTCAGGTTGTTCTTGGTGAAGGCCAGGCCTCGCTTGTCTTCCCACTGCAGGATGGGCAGGTGGCTCCCCGCGGCGCTGGCCAGGTCCTGCTTCTTCACTGCAGCAGGGAGAGAGAGGGACAGGGGCGTGGGTGAGGTTGCCACGGTGTGGATGGAGCATGGAATCTCTGCTCTGGGCGGGGAGGGATTTAAACAGTTTGAGCAAAAAGCTGGGGCGGAAATGTTCTTATTTCATGGCTTGATAACTGAGCTGAATGGGCTGCAGGACTGTGGGAAATGGCTGGATTTGTAAAGAGTTCTTAGGGTTTGATAGAAAGAAACCCTAAAAACTCTCTATGAGTCCATTTCCCACACAGGATAGCTGTCCAGTGGTATTCTCCAGGGTGCCCACAGAGTGTGCAGGTCTGAGCTGCCAGGGCTGAAAGCCAAGGGTGCTCTAGGAAGATCCTGACAGTGTAAGCTGTGCTTGGTGGGTCAGACCCCAAAGGATGAGCTGTCCATCCTCAAGGCTGAGTCTCCTGGCACTGGAAGCAATGGAGATGGCTTTACCTTCCCATCTCACCCATTTCCAGAGTGAAACCTTGTCCTCAGGTGACACCAGCACTGGGACAGTTGTACCATGCTTGTACCTAAGGGTTGGGGACAGGAAGAGGAAAATTCTAAACCATTTTTTCCTTCAGAAGGGGTGGATTGCAATTCTGTTTCTTAAAAAGACACTGCTGAGCTTGCAGAATGTCCACACTGGTCACCAGGATGTGTCAGCAAGCACTGAGACACCTGGACTTCTCTTTCTGCCTCTTCTTCAGGGGGTTGGGGCTCCTCAGCCCTTCTCCTCCCGAGTGCTCTCAAGGACATCTTTTGTAGAATTGCTGTTGGTTTACCAAGGTCACTGGATTTTAGCAAAAACCCCAAAGACCCCACTGTGCTTCAAGAGCTTCAATTCCAAAGCAACACCTTGTATTTTAAACAATTTTTATCCCTCTCTTCCCCTTTTTTCTTTCTTTAATGCTCTTCTGGAACAAAATACTACACTTGGAGTCAGCCTCAACATTCCTCCAGACATTTTTTCCCAATCCTGTGGTGAGCTGATTACAAGCAGAGCTCCAGTCCTGACCCCAGCATCAGCCTGATTCAAGCTGAGAATGCTTCCCAGCCTGCAGGGGGAAAATTAGGGAATTGCTGCCCTTTTGCCTTCACCACTTTGATTTCTCACACACAACAGAGAGGACAATAAACCTCAGCCCTTGCATGTTTTTCTGCAGGGAAGCAAGAGTTGTCTCTGCTCTTTACTGACTGCCACGTAGAATTGTTGTGCTAAAGCAGCAGCAGTGGGAAGAAAAGGATAAAAACCATGAAGATTATCTCAGGTATTAAAATGAACCTGAAAATGAATGATGAATGCTTAGAAAAGATTGAGGCAACAGAGTTCCAGGAACTGAGACCTCTTTAATGAGCTTGTGTTCGTGTTTAAAGTTGATTTTTATTCAGTATTTGGGGAAGGGCGTGTGTGCATGGGAAGGGTGGCAAATGGAATGCAGGTGAGGGAGGGCTTTGGAATTCCCTTGGCAATAACCATTAGGTCCATCCTGGGTGAAATGAGACTCAGAAAAAGGAATGTGCTCATGTCCCAGTGGCATCTGTTTCCCTCTTTCCCAACAAAAAATAATCCATGAGGAGACAGGAAGCTGTTAGGAGTGCAATTCCTTTTATATTCTCGGAGTAGCACAACAAAATAATGGCCTTTTTTTTTTTTTTTTTTTTTAGTGCTGCTGAAGTATCAAATCCTTCTGATCTTTTCCCAGGAGGCAAAGTGGATGGGGAAAGTATTTCAGGGAAGTGGAAGACAGACAGGGATTGTGGCAGCAAGGAAAGCTAAATTATAGAAATATTATAAAGGTTAGAGACAATGGAGCTTTGACACAGAGAGGGGAATAAAACAAGTAAAAGTTCTCCTAGTCTGCCTTCATCCACCTCTCAGTTCAGGGACTGTCTGAATAATGGGAAAAGCTCAGCTAGCTCTGGATCACTCTAAGCTTTGCAAGAGCTCAGAGCAATTCATCTCAGAAAGCAGAGGAAATCTTGTTTGAGGTGGGAAGGGTGAGGAAAGATCAGAATAGTTCCAGAAAATGTCCTGGGCTCTTTTCCATCTCTGGAATTTTTGGGGGGATTTTAAGAGAAGCTGCCTGCGACATATTCGTTTCTTGCAGAATGATGCATTTAAAATGTAAATGACACTGAATTCCACAATGAATTTTTATATTAGTTATAAAATAGATTTCATTAGTTCTAGAATATTATAAGATCTCAAATGAACTACATGACTTCCTAACTTCTAGAATTAGTCAGGTTTCACAGCTTTAACCTTCCTTTTAAGATGAATCTCCCTCTATTGATGCTCTCTATTTTCAAGTTAATTACTTTTTCCCATGCTTTCAGTAAGAGGAGAATAAAATGAATGTTCAAGTGCTTTTTAATACAGCACAGCTCCTTTTCTAGCAGCAGCAGTACTTTGTAATTGTCATTTATTTATTTATTTCCTAAATTCTGGAGCTCTACTTCCTGCAAATATACCTATGATGCTCCTTCTTAAAGGAATTAAAATCTGCTTTTAATAAGGGAATCATTGCCACAGTTCTTTCTGTTTTCTCACACACTATAAACTTCTGGCATCCCTTAATTCTCCTGTCCCCAAATTCCTTTTGGTTCCGTCCCTTGCTGGAGAATCCCTGTTGCCTGTCAGATTAGGGATCTCTTTTGTGCTGAATTTGTGGGGTTTCTGCAGTTCTCAGCACCAATGGGAGAGCCTAATCCTGAACTCTGAGTCTCAGCAAGAGACTTGTGGTGAAGCCCTTGTGGTGCAAGGTCCTGTGTCCTCTGTGTCCTCTGGTGCTCCAGTTCATGCCCTGAGCATTCAATAAAGGGAATTTGGAAGCATAAATGAGGCTCTGGCCACATTTAGAGGTGGCTTTGGGACCACTGCAGCACAAGGAGCACGAGCCAAGTCCTGCAGCTTTGGTCATGCTCTGTGCCACACGCTGGTGACAAGAAGGAACAGGCACTGCCCTGAATCCTGACCCCAAATCCAACCCCAAATAAGAGGGGAGAGGATGATGGCAAGGCAAGGAGAAGCCCCAAATAAACATTAATGCACAGGGGGAAATGGGTTTGGAGGGAGCTCTGAGCTGGGTTTTGGCACATCTCAGTAGGTAAAGTCATCAGGGAGGGGAGATCTTGATTCCAGCCTGGATGAAGAAAAATTCTCAGTGTGAGTTAAAAAGGCCAAGAGCAGCTGGAAGATTTATCATAAAGGAACAGACACCAAAACATGGAGCTGTTCTGCTACTGCCAATTAATCAGTCCATTCCCAAAGAACTCCATCTAATTCTCATTCCTCTCACTCCTCTGTTCTCACCTTCACAATAGATGGGTCTAAAACTAGAAAAAGACAGAATAAAGGTGTGGGAGAGATTTCCTGCAATTTAGGATTTGTAGTCTGCCACCTTCACATTGAATAAGGCACCTGAGGTGGGGGAATGTAACAAAGATCAGGGGTATAATTATTCCTTTTACACTTTCTATGCACAAGTCATGGTTTCTGAGAAGAGAAAACCAGGGTGGAGCCCAAGAAATTATTATGCACCGAGTTGAAAATAACAGGAAATATTTTCTGCCTGCAAAGTGCTGTTAAGCTGGGGAAGTCATTGCCACAGGGAGAAGCACCAGGAATGTGTTCAGGCTAAATAAAGGTCAGAGATAATCCATAGATATTGGATTCCTTGATGACTACATAGCACAGCACAGAAAGGAGAGAGAAAATTCCCTTAAGTTTCCCCTTTTCTTGCTCCTCTCTGTGGCCAGCAGTGACAGGCCCTCAGTGGAATGCCAGAGAGGATGGACACAGTCCCAGGGAGGCTGCCTGGGAATGATGGCAAAGGAATTTCTGTAAATATGGGGGCTGAAGAGATTTGGAGAAAACTGCTGGGTGTTTCCCTGTGGCAGCTGGGCTTTTGTGCAACCCAGGGAAGTTCCCAGCAGCACAGCAGAGCTTTGGCTGCTCCTCTGAGTCACTGGAGCCTCTCTGCCACTGGGGATTTAAAAAACCAAACCCTGACAGTAGCAGACAACCTCTTGCTCCTTAAAACTGGCACCTGAGCAAAGCTGTGACCAAGGCCAGGCCAGGCTGGAAGCTCCAGAAACCCCCGTGCCAGAGGGAAAGGCACCAAGGGTGGGCATCAGGAAGGAGCTGGTGGCTCGAGGAAAGGAAACTCTGCTGGGAAATGCATCAGCCCTGAGCTGCAGAGTGACTGAGCCCTGGGGGTGGATTTGGATCTCTGCAGGAGCATCCCAGCACTTCCTGCATTTCTCAGGTTACAAAGTGCACCCCGGGGCAGCACTGGGCTGCTGGGGAAGCCTCTGCAGTGAGCTGTACTTTGGAGAGGGATAAATGGCCTCAGGCCAGCTGGAAAACCCTCTGGCACTCACTCCATCCACACTGGAGCCAGGCAGGAACTTTTCTCTGGGAATACCTAAATTTTCCACATGGGTGGAGCTGGTGAGGGTGGGGGATGTCAGGGCAAGGTCCTTGGTGTGGAGACAGCTTCAAGGCTGAGGTGGTGACATGGGGACCTTGGAGATGCTGGCAGCCCCTTGGAAAGGCATGGAAACCTCTTGGAAAGGCATGGTAACTCTGGAATGGCATGGAAACCTCTTGGAAAGGGATGATAACTCTTTGGAAAGCCATGATAACCCTTTGGAAAGGCATGACAAGTCTTTGGAAAGGCCTGGAAGCTCTTTGGAAAGGCATGGAAACCTGTTGGAAAGGCCTGGAAACTTCTTGCAAAGGCATGATAACCCTTTGGAAAGGCATGATAACCTCTTGGAAATGGATGATAACTCTTTGGAAAGGCCTGGCAGCCCACCCTGTGACAGGACTTTGTGATGGCACCTTCCTACCACAACATAAAAGCCTGGAGGGCTCAGCTTGGCATTACCCTTTCCCTGCTTGCTCTGAAATGTGTCAGAGATTATCTCACTGAAAATAGGGGGGAGGATTTATGGGAATAAATAAAACTAGCCTGATTTGACCTGATTTTGCTCCAAAACTTGTAATTCTTGCCAATTCACTGCTCCACAAGAGCTCACGTGAGCTCCTTCCCTGCCTTTTCTGGAGGATTCAGCAGATCACTGAGACATAAGGTGCCTGTTTCAGTTCAGTTACAAAAGCTGGTCATTCAATGAAAGAAACAGCTCAGAAAAGTGACATTTCTGTCAGCTGTCCCTCCTTTCCTGCACTTCACTCAGCCTGGCCTGCTCAACAAGGAAAAGCTGATTATTCTGCTCCCCATGTTTCCTGCAACACCTGCTCCTACCAGATCCACACAGACCAAGGTTACTGAACCACAACATTGGCTGTAAAAAGGCTTTAGTTGTGAACAAGGATTACCTGTCAGGTGAGCTCGTGGCTTCTCTGCACTGGAAAGTGTGTCTGTAACTGAGGGAAAAGGAAAAAAAACCGTGTGAGGATGTTTGCTGCTGTTCAATAATAAAATTACAGAATATCCTGAGCTGGGAGAGACCCACCAGGATCACCCAGCCCAGCCCCTGTCCCTGCCCAGACCCCCCACCAAGCCCACCCTGGGCATCCCTGGCAGCGCTGTCCAAAGGCTCCTGGAGCTCTGGCAGCCTCGGGGCCGTGCCCATTCCCTGGGGAGCCTGGGCAGTGCCAGCAAAATATGAGTGGTGACTGATGCCCACGAGGAAATGTGCAGGCTCTTTCTGCAGAGGTCTGAGTCGGGGCTGATTTGCTGTGATCTCTTACTGACAGCCCTGAGGTGATAAATGCAAACAGGGGAGTTTGTCAGAGCTGCTGCAGCACCAGCAGGGCACATTGTGGCTGTGTCCTGAACTGCTGGAGGCAAACAGAGGGGAAGGGTGAGGAGCACAGGCTCCTAAATCCCTGCTGGTGCTTGTTCAGGGAGTCCCACTGACCCTGCAGAGCTGTGGGGAAGCCTGTGCCTGCCCAGCTTTGACAGTCCAGGGTTAGAAATGCTCCCATTTCACTCTGCCCACTTTATCTCCCTGCATCCTCTCCCCCAGTGTGCCCTGGCTGGCTTGTCTGGGCAGGGATTGGGGTGCTGAGGGCAGAGGTGTGCTGGGATTGCAACACCGGAGGGGAAGGGGGAAAGGGAGGCAAACTCACCAGCAGCCACTGCTCTTTGCTTCAGAAAGTGAGAGCCCCTCTCCTCTGTGACCTGCAGGGGACAGTGACAGCAGTCAGAGGGTTTTGTGTGAATTATCCCAGACATGGAATAGCTGCAGTAACATCAGTGAATTCAGATGGAGCATTTTGGCTAAAAGGTGAGCCCTGACAAGTCTTTGTTCACTGCAATACATTTCTGCTGTTGGTTTAGAACAGCCTTCATCTCTGACAGGGTTCCAGGACCTGGGGGAGGTTTGTTGGATCCTGAGCTGCCCAAGCCTTGGCATAGCTGGGAGAGCAGCAGCAGAGTGGCCAGTGTGACCCAGCCATGGATGGTGAGTGCCCAGCCCTGCTGGAGCCCCTCTGCTGCTTGCAGCCTCTCCTGCCCTCAACCCAGGCACAGCAAGCAGAGCAAAGTGAGAGATTCTCCTCAAGGCAGCCTCCACAGGAGAAAAGGTTCCCCACAACACCAGCAGAGACTGAGATGGATCAGCTCCACCTGCCTTTTGTTCTGCGCCCAGACTAAGCCTGTTCCTTAGGTCTGTCTGGAATTTTGGGTGACCTCCTGGGAGGCAGGAGCTGAGCAGACCCAAGGGAGCAACTGCAGGGTCCTAGCAGCTGCTGGGAGCCCGCACTGGGAAAAGCTCATCCTTCCTCTGCTCTGCAATTCCCTCCTGGAGCCGGACACTCCCATTGACCTCGGCAGGACGTGGCCTGGGCCCTGCCCTGTGCCGCCGAGCTCAGCAGTCCCTCGGGACTGTGCCTGTCACACACTCGGTGTCCTGAGTCACCTGCTGTGCCCCCCGAGCCACCCGGGCACGGCACGGCCGGGGCTGCGCGCCCAGCGCCGGGGCAGCTCCGTGGGGAGCGGGGGGGTGCTGGGGGTGCTGGGGGCTGGGGGATGCTGGGGATGCTGGGGATGGAGGGGGATGCAGGGGGATGGAGGGGAATGATGGGGATGGTGGGGATGCTGTGGGATGGTGGGGGATGTTGCGGGATGCTTTGGAATGCTGGGGATGCTGCCTCACATCTGGCCTCGCAGGGCTGTGAGGAGCAGCCCTTGGAACAGCCTGGGTTGTGCTGACCCTCGGGACTGGCCCATAGGATTGACCCACAGGACTGACCCTTGGGACTGACCCATAGGATTGAGCCTCAGGGCTGACCCTCAGGATTTACCCTCAGCTGACCCTCAGGGCTGACCCTCGGGACTGACCCTCGGGATTCACCCTCAGAGCTGTCAGGAACCCCCATCCCAGAATGTCTTTCAGGAACACACAGGGCTGGCATGGTGTGTTTTATGGGCAGACACCAAAAATACACTGAATAAACTAAATAAACTACCCCTGGTCAGCTCATAGCAAAGTATTTGAGGCACTTTCCCCAATAAAAACTGAAACAATATTAATATCTAGATGCTGAAGCTGGCTCCTGCTGGCTGTGTCTCACACAGCTTCAAACACTGCAGGAGAAGGAGAAAATAGAGAATTTATATTGGCTGGGGAAGGGGAATGTTTGTGGAAGGAGAACAGCCTGCCTGGGGTTGGGGGCTGCTGGCTGCTCCAGGAAAGCCAAAGATAGTTTAATGTTTTACTGGAAGTAAACATCCGTGTGCTCCTGCAGCAAACAGTCATTTCTAAAATAGCTGCTCCAGCATGGTGGGAAAAATGGAGAAGGAAACAGTAGGGAAAATTCTCTCTTTTTTTTTTTTTTTTTTTTTTTTTTTTTTTTTTTTTTTTTTTTTTCCTTTTCCCCCTCACACACATTGTG